ATTTTATCCGTCTTTTTCTAGCATTCAGATTTTTTTTCCTCCCATACAAAAAAAATATATCCCTTTATAATCATATATTGTTCATATGGAATTAGACCAGTATATACATAAAAGTTATATAAATCTAAACATTTAGATATTTCACATAGATTTCATATAAATTTTATGTATATTGCAAGTCTATGATGGAATAGGCCCGTATTATAATTCTTTGTTATAAATTTTTCCATAGGACCCGCATGGACAACGGGATATATGAAAAATATACATTAATTATACCCACATATATCGTATATCAAGTCTAATTATTAGTATATATATTTTTCTGTGAGAGAGGATTGAAGCACTAAAAATTTATAAAGAGACTGATTGAATAAATAAATTAATGAATGATGTCCGGGTCGTTGATAAAAATAGTAGGCATCACGACTCGATGAGAATGAATTCGTGTCGTTGAAATGAACAGATAGAATAAAATCTTCATTGAAGTGCGGGCTCAAAGCAATGGAGAGTATAAAATCAGTGTCGCAATGTATCAGAGTGTCGACCTCTCTCATGGCTCAGTCTCCTGATACATTTCTCCAATTCCTCTCCCACTTTTTCGCCTCTACGTGACCTGAGAAAGTTCATTGGGTTAAATAAATATATCACACAGATTTTATATTAAAAGGGAACTGATATTTATTCTGAATATTGTTGTACTGTCAAGCATTGTGACAACTCTGGGCGTTGATATTTACAACAATTCGATTCTAATTCTAAGTTCTCGTTGAAATCCAAATTGCAATTGACTAAAAATTCAAAAACAAAGTTCTTCCTTTTAACTGTTTTTGAAAGTGCAAGGAAGTGGGAGGGGAAGAAGTGTAGGGGGTAATATATTGTTAACAATTTAATTGAATGACTCGAGCTTTCATTTATTGTTAACAAATAAACATTAGTTAAAGACTCGATATAATGTAAGGTAGGTTGTTAATGTCTGTTGAAGTGTTATAAAGAAATCGTTTTACATTAACTATTAAGTTTATTGGTACATACGCCAGAACTGTCAAAGATGGAACTGATTAACAAAACAAATCAGCGATGTTCAATTTCTTTTAAACAAAAACAATTCGACATATTAAACTTCTTCTTTTTAACAATATCCAATGTTGCTTGCTCGAGAGTTCGTCTCCAAGTGTTCCTAGTCACCAATTCGTCCAGGGTGACAGGTCTACCCACCAGACAAGACCCTTTGTCTATGGTTGGTCCACGTGTTGGGCTGTTTCGGTTATAAAATTAAAATAAATGTTATAAATGTTTCCATGTTTTCCTGTGATCGGTAACAACGGGTCTCTTGTTTATAACTGAATCTGTATAAATTCTTTTTATTAATACTTAATAAATATTTTCAATTAATTTCCGGAAAGTATACTAATCCCCGAGGACTTATTTATTGCCGATTATCGTGACCCGGTGATTACCGATTTCACGTGATTTCGGGGAATAATTGATTTCAAGTGACTTCAAGTAACTTCAAGTGATGTCAATTAATTTCAAATTTCCGATTTCATCATTTGCGCAATAACAATAATCAGGCAAGTGAGCGAAATAAAAATGAATAGTAAAATGTGACCCATCGGCTGGCATCAGCCTATATTGGAGTATTTAATTAAATTCGTAGAATCAATTGAAGTAAGAAATAAAATAAGTAAGAGATTACAAAAATTAATCGACGTAGAAGGCTCCAGAGAGTGTATTTTTTCTAAAGTCTTCACACTCTCATAAAACTTGAAGAAGAACCCAGAAAAATTATATATTGCATACAAATGAAATTTTGTGAATGAATATTTAATGCGCAAATTATCTGCGTTTTTTCTAAACTTTTAAAAAAGAACCAGAAAATAGGGAAAAAACACCTGAAAATGATCGGACCATCACGAAATCTCGTGAGCCATTAAATAATGACAAAACGCAAAATTGTTATATTTTTTTACGTTAATCGGATTCGTAGTTTCCCAGAAAAATAAAGAAAAACGTGAATTTTGGGTGAAAGAGTGTCGAGCATTTTCAAGAGGGTCTAGTTCTTTTTCAAATTCCAGCATTTGTTTAGCATTAAACCGCTCTCAAGTCCAAGGAACAATTGATAATTGTAATTTTTTCTAGAATTGTCTTCTTTACTAGCATGTCATAAATCTTTATCGAGTATTTTTCGTACAAGAGAATCTGTACTCAAACATTCTAACAGTTTATTACATCAAATTCACCGATTTCTTTCCGCGGAGAGCGGAATTAATATAATTGGCTCGTGGCATTAGAAATTAAATTGTAATCTCAAAATTTCGTGGCTCGGTGGGCTGTTGATTGGATTTTGTTGACGAGGTCGAGGTCTGATAACATATTTCAGGTGGAACTGATCGAATTCTGAAGCAAAACTGCAAATAGAGATGAGTTCACTAATTTTATTGATTATTTCAGGAGCCAATCTCGTATGGCCGTTTCTCAGGAAGAAAATTATGAAAAAGCTTTAATACGCAATTTAATTATTTATAAAAAATATTATTTCATTATTTATATTGCGTTTTTGGCCGGAATATATATTGGTATAATTAATATTAATTAATATTAGTATATATTTGGTGCACATGCCCTTTTTCCTGTCGACATTTTTTAACAAGATATTTTTTTTTATTTTTCCTTCATTCGCGTTCCTTCATTGAATGCTCTTTTTTTTATTCATATTGAGAAAATTCCAGGGCAATAAAACAGATGATCACGTGCTCACCTGCGTTTTTTCTGATAGATTTATCTTACTAATCTTACATAACATCTACAACTTCACATCGTTCTCTAAAAGATTTCTTTACACACGACTAGACAAATCAATTCTCATCATCGACTAATTATGATAAATTAGCTAACATGCGTATTTATCTTCGCAATAATAATCTTCGATGACTTAACGTTAAATTAATATTAGCAAAGTTAATGATAATTTAAAGTTGACGGGGAAACCCAACGGAAATAGTAATTATGCACTTTTTTGTTTAGACGTAATTGCTCTCTCCTCGACTTCTACAAATAAGGAGAATTCAGTTTTTTCAATTGAACACGCCTTGATAATTCTATCGTGGGAGTCATTGGGTGAATGAAACAGTGTTTTTCTTTTTACAATCCTCAAGGGAATGAGAAAATATAAATGTAGAGTATGAGGTTAATGATTATAACCCGTAACGAGTACTATATTGCAACTCATTCGATTAATCTCTAGGACTTAATAGCAGAGCAATTCCAACGTTTTTCTCATCAATTATTTTCTATCATAACTTTTCTTTATTTGTATTAACTGGAACATTGTTTTTACAAAAAATGTGATTATTTGCCTTCTCACAACTTTCACTTCATGGAGAAATTAAACAGTCATCTGACAAACGAGAGTTACTCATGAAAAATCTAATTGTTGTTTTTATTTAAATGATTCAGGATTTTCCATTAAAATTTCTAATTATCTGCTGAAAATTGTGTTGAAAGTTTCATAATTGAAATGTCGATTTATACTACCCTAAATTCGGATTCGATAATTATTTGACGGTTTGAATAATTACATTTGTTTAATGAGAAAAATTATAATTGTTTTGATACCATTATTTCAGTTTTTGCGGTTTCTGTAAAAATTTGATAATTATTTTTCCTTTAACAGGTATCCGATCATAAAAATTTAATCTTGTTTGTCAAATAAAATAAACTCTCACCTAACATTTTACGCGAAGCGATAACCGATACTATCACCGACACCACCGGTTGTACTCGTAAAATGTGAAACGAGAAAAATCTATTCGCATTTCTACCTGCAATACCAATTTATTATCCCCTCGGATTTTGTAATTAGCACATATAATCTTTAATTATCAGGAATAATAACAACAATTAAGATATGATCGAGAAACTGCTTCAGTCATCGTGAAACATTTACAGAAATTCGAAAGAATCAAATAGAAATAGTGTAAACATGAATGAAATAATTGAAAACAGTCATTCATTGTCGAATAGATCTTTTAATTGTTTATAAATATTTATCAAATTCCAGTTTGATACTCGTTACTTTTGATTTTTATTCTATATACTAAATCTAGAATCATGAAAATATTATATGTATTTAATAAAATTTGATAAAATAATATATTTCTTTTTCAAAAAATTAAAAAAATAATATATATATTTCTTGTTTAAAATATTTACTCGACTGTTTCAGGTCAAATTTTTATGATAAATAGTTAAACAAAGTAGCTGCCAATAATCACTTTCTGTTTGAGATTGGCCGTTTTGACTTTGAGATAGAAATTGTTGAAATTTGATTAAGTTTTCCCATATTTAAATGAAGTGTCACGGATTAGAATTAAGGCTCGGGTGGATTATCTAGAAAAGATAATTTACTCCGAAATTCGGATTCCTAATTACTTTGGCAATTAATCGTTTTTTTTCAATAATTGTTAGCTAACAATTATCGGAAAAAACGATTAATTGACGGAGTAATTAGAAGTCCCAATTTTGGAATAAATTATCTTTTCCAGGCAGTCGATCCGGGCCTTAAAAAAAAATAATCGGCTAGATATTTTTTTCAATTAAAACGGTTTGGGGTAGAAGCCACATCATTGAATACAGCCGAAAAAAAAATCGATTGACCGTTTAATTTTCGAGGAATAATTACAGAAAGTTGATAAATAACCACAATTAAGAATATTAGTTTTGAGGCTTTAGGGGCCATGATTATTATTATAGTTGGCTTCCGGATGGATGCTGCATTTAATTTCGCAATGTTGCCCGCAATCAAAGAGCAATATTTAGTCCTGCAAAATTAGTGAATAATATTTAACCCATTAACATTTAAATTTGTTATCCGAAAATGCACTTTCGCAAAGATGGAGGTGTCAACATGTTTATCAAGTTTCAACTTGCCTTAGATTCATGGATTTCTTTCTCACTGATATCCACATAATTAACGTACAACTTTCTTGTATTTTTAGAAACCCAACATGGTGGAAACGTAGATCGGCGATGGAGCGTGGGCTAACGGTTGTAGCAATATCTGGGATCCTCTTATGCATTGCCCTGGCAATCGGTATTGCCGTACTAGTAGCAAATTCCAACTCGTGCGATGTTAACAATAACGGAGCAGGTGAGTAACCTTTTGCCGTTCCATTTTGCTTGGAAACTTGCGTCTTCCATTTGCTTGAAACCATTTTATCTGAGCCCATCGATAATATCCATCAAAACTGGTGAAACTCCTAGAGAAAAAATATCACGGGTATTAAACACAAAAATTCATTTGCTTGCAGAAATCGAAATACATCTAATGTCGTAACTAAAACTGACCTTTTAATTCATCTTACCTAAGTCATTTTTCTTTTTTTTTATCAACCTTCCACGATTTTCTCACGGGTCTAAATGTCTGCCATTATTCTATATTCATTCGACTGGATGCATAATGTGATCGTTATTATTTTTATTTCATGGAATTGCACCAAAATTCTGTTATTCCCAACTTGGAATAGGTCTAGAGGGTCTGTAGCGAGGGGTAATCCCTCTTGACATCCGCTGATATTGATATCGTAAGAGATTCCACGAAATCTTTTCAAGTCCTATCAAATCCCGTAAAATTTTGAGGAGAAATTCATGAATTGCACGGAAGGATTTGAAATAGCATTCAGTATTCATAAACAAATATGGAAGAGAAATGATGATTGTGCAGATGTTTCGGGATGCTATTCACTATACTCGGGCGAAAATTCGAGTGGAGAAATAATCCGTCAAATAGTACTCGTGCTGAAGCGGAAGTTAATATTTTCTTCAAGCTTCCTTGCCTAGGAACTAATCTATCTGAATTGTGCAGAAATCCTCTCGTGCTTTGTACTCATGATTTTGAACCTGCCAAATTTTATACAGTCGTTCCTTGGCAACAAAACTATCGGAAAATATCGTATAATTTTTAAGCACTAGTGATATTACGATTTTTTCTTACGCCACAGGTGCGCAGAATGATCTGATTCCGGGCCCCGTGACATTAATATCTTCATTACTATTATGAAAGTAGAAACACAAAAATTAAGTCCGCCCTAGTCGAAATATCTCGAAACTCGTATGACAAATTTCTTATTGGTCGACTCGAACCGCCAAATTCAAATTCGGCGCACGGCATGCGCAGTAGGTCTCTAAAAGGGACACACTTGACACAGTCGATTATCTCGAAAATCTCGAAATCATGATGCCACGATTCCTTATTGGTCCGCCTAAGATGGCGCGAGATTACAAAGTTGTAACTTTCTTACAGAAATCGTCTCATGCCCCCGCGCTGGCGCACCGTACGGTCTCTCGTCCTCCTATTCTAAAAAGAATAAACATCGAGACTATCGATATCTCGAAACTCTGTCACGCCTATTCCTCATTGGTTCAGTCGTTTGAGGAGGCTAATTTGAATTTGGAACTCATTTAAATTAACAATTTTTAATCACGATTTTTTTAATTACAGCGCACTGTAGCGCGCGTTCACTTTCGTGATCAACTCAGAAATCATAACCAATGATGATCAAAGACTACAGCATCCACCGTAATCGAAAATTAGATAAAATCGTTAATTTTTCTGCGAATGAAATTATCCTGATTACCGAATACAACTAAATGACACTATATCCTCTTCGCGACATTTGCAATACCAGTAATAGTGCAGAATTGCCATCAACACTTGAAAAATGCAATTCTCGTCATGTAGTTATGTAGTAAAATATCCATAATTCGTGATGGTTCGATTTTAATCCAAAAACCTAAATCCACGAGACACGGGCTTATTTACCACTCTCAAAAATGAACATTACGAAAAAGAATTGACTGACGCGACCTGATTAATCCCCCATTCATCATCTATGCTTCACTTTCATTTGTTGTTGATGGAACTAATTTGAAAATAAAAAAAAAATAAGAACGAAAAAATCGTGAAATAAAAAAAAGGAATTATGAAACTCCAACCTCGAAGGTCGTACGAAATCATCGAGTTCTGCATGACCATGTACATTCTAATATCACCATTATTCACGAATGTAACATCATTACGCTTTTTCTGCACGTGCACACGATTTCGTAAACGCTCGAGAATAGTTCCTGCTAAAACCGAGATGCTACCATTCGCAGCTGAAGCCCTCGCTGGTTCAAAATTGGACAAATCAACTCCAACTGTCATCAGAGGACCAGATAGTGTTTGCACAACTCCAGCTTGTATTCATGCCGGTAAGTTAATCAATTCAGTTGTCAAGTCAAATCAATTATTTGTGTACTAAGATAGTTTTCTCAAGGAAAAATAATTCTTAGAGAAGAAATTTCAAGTAATCTCTGTTAAAGAAAGTGATTTGAACTCATCCCCAAAAAATGGTTGTATGAATTTCAAAGAATGATTCATAAATTATATAATGCGATAATAACACAAGATCAGATCTTATTAATTCTTTTTTTTACCCCTTAATCTCTCCTATCTTCTAGCTTCAAAGGTCCTGAACAATATGGATGAAGATGTAGAGCCTTGCGATGACTTCTACAAATTCGCTTGCGGTGGATTCTTGAAGAACACGCTCATCCCAGATGATAAAGTCAGTGTTAATAGCTTCAGTGTCATTAGTGACAAAGTCCAAGAGCAGTTGAGGATCAGTATCGAGGAGCCCAGTTATCCGATGGAACCTAAGCCTTTCAAGCTTGCTAAAAATTTATACAAAGCCTGCATGAATAAAAGTGAGTATGAAAGCAATGACCAGACAAATTGGATGAATAATCCGTCAAATACGAATGATAGATGACACAAAACGTAACAAACTCACTCGTTTTATCACACCTTAGTCAATTCAGAAGCTAATTATTTCGATAATGAATTATTGGGTAAATGTCTAGTTCAGGTCCACCAAACCATTCTGGATTTTTTTTATTTGATTGGATGGGTTTTCGTCACCTAATTAAGGATCTGGTCACCTTTTTATCCGGAAACAATTAGTCTGGGAGATATGACATTTAATACACCGCTCTCTGCGTTATCCAGGGCCACGGCGAGAACGTGGCGGTGTGTCGGCCCTAAAGACACCACATGTTGGCACATTTATAGACAATGGACACACAGAAAGATAGATTTCATCAAATATTCCTGAACACTTCACTAAAACTCTGAATTCACCTCACCCGACCACCTACCATCGCTGACTGAACACAACGAGTGATTTATCCACCGCTATCCTTCTGTAGCAATTCAAATTATTGAATTTAATATCACTCGTCGTGTCAGCAGCGACAGCAGGAGGAAAGGGGGGTTTAAGGAATTTCAAGGACAACAGAGTTTACCTCAGGATTATTTTTCGATGTATTTACCTCCTTGTTGTTTCTCACTCTCTTCTTTCATCTTGTTAGTGGGAGCTGAGAGAACAAGAATGCATTTTTCGTCAGAGAAATTAATATTTCAATGATTATTGTTTTTAGTGGACCTAAACCATACATTTACCTATCATTGGACCAAAAATTTCTCGTCTTTCGGAATGATTCATCTCGTAAATTAATCTATCGCTCAAAACTGAAAAAATCTCAAGTTGTTTGAAGATATTGTGCCGATTATTATGAAACATTTTCTATTATTTCAAAGTAATTACGATGTGTGCAATGTTTTTTAGCTGCGATTGAGGCGCAGGGTCTTACTCCACTCCTCAACATCCTGAGGAAACTCGGCGGATGGCCCGTCCTAGATGGAGATATGTGGAACGAAGAAAGTTTCGACTGGATCGAATCAGTTTATAAATTCAGGGATTCGGGATATTCTGTTGATTACTTCCTTGACTTCAGCATTGGCGTGGACTTGAAGAACAGTACGAAGAGAGTCATTGATGTATGTGTCCATTCTTGACGGAATAACGAAAAGTATAAAAGTCAATTGGGTAGTGAGACAAAACGAATTCAATCAGACATTCAATTTTGGTCACCAAAATCAAGGATAATTTTATTACAGAATTATATCTTACAAAAAGCTCAAGCGATATTTTTTTTATACCAATCATTATCCAGATAATGAACAATCAGTGTAATAGTCTTGAAAATTTGGAAATGAGTATTAATCTTTTATCGATCATATACTTATCTAATTGAATGAGTTGAGCAAGAAGTAGTAATAGATACGAAAATCCTTACCTAATTCGATGCTTTATAATGATTCACTCATCTACTTCCGTTGATTGACTGCTGAACAACTATTTTCATCATCAAGGCGACAATTACTTCTGACTTCATAAGAGAATATCAATAAATGTTTATTATAACAGCGGTAATTCAGGGTTTAACATGTTTATTGATATGCTTTTAGGAGAAATCATTCACTACCAACATTGACCATTTAATAGAGATTATTGGAAACTGCAAATTCATACTTATGTGACTTTTATGGATTCACTTTATTCGATTTTTTAGTTGGATCAAGCCTCCCTCGGTCTTTCCCGTGAATATTTATCCAAAGGACTAGACGACAAAATAGTGAAGGCTTATTACAACTACATGGTGGATATTGCTGTGATCCTGGGAGCCAAACGTGAACTGGCGGCGAAGCAGCTGCTCAGTTCTCTCAAATTTGAGATTCAATTGGCTAATGTAAGCTTTTTCACATTATTTTTATTCACTCTCATAAATGATACCAAACAACAATATCACTCTTAACCTCTCCTTGCCTCTAAAAGTTTTAAGCGAATGAAAAAAGGGAAAGTGAGAAAACAAAGAAAAAAATTAATTTGCACATTTTTATTTATTATCAAAAATTATCAATCATTTAAACCGACGTGCGGTGGCCGTGCGGTTAGAGCGTGAGGGGTTAGCACATGAGATTCGTGGGTTCGATTCCCAGTCGGGGAAATGCCAGGGGTTTTTTAGAGACTAGCGTATATGGCGCGCTATGCGCGCCAAATCGTCCACGTATGGGGTGTTATCATTGGAATATGTATATATTTATATATTTCCAATGTAATATATACATATCCCTTTTAAAAAAAAAGCATGTAACGTTTTTTGTCAGCTTTTTTTGGCGCTATGCATATCAAAATATATCTA